ACGAAAAATGAAAGAAACAAAACCAAAGGCTCCGTTATTCAGTCGACGTGCTGGTAGTAATCGAGCAAAGGTGAAAATGTGTTTTATTTAATTTCAAATGATTTCTGAATGAAACATTGTTTTCAGAAACAAAACGTATGTTTAAATTTACAATAATTTTTTCTAAATTCCTTCATTTTTTCTTCGCCAGAAACTGTACGAAATGCATATTTCTGATGTCAAAAATCGACTGAAAAATGTTCAATATATGTCAGCTACATGCGACATATGGTCTTGCAAGCATAGATCATTTATTGCGGTCAATATATGCTATATTGACCCAAAGTCGTTTGAGCAAAAGTCATTTCTCATCGCCATCGACCGATTCGAGGGTTCACACACAAATAATGCGGTCGCTGCGAAGTTGAAAGACATTTTCAAGCGCTTCCATATTCTTGGCAAAGTAGTCGGTGTGACCACCGACGATGCATCGGAGTTTGTTGTTGCATTCCAGCGTTTTGGCGACAATTATGCTACCTACGAAAATTATTTGAACCTAAATGAGCGTGACGAAGTGGCTATTTCCGACTCTACGGTATTTGAAGCCGAGCAACTGCGAAGTGATGCAGACGCAATAATTCTCAGTTCGGATGATGAGGGCCATGGTTATGATTACGACTCGGATGATTGGTTAAATGTCGACGTCGATGAATCATTGCCACCAATCATAATTGAAAGCATTGACGACAACGACATGGAAACGACTCGATCGCTGGCAAATGAATTTGGCCAATCAACAGCGACAACAGCTCCAGATGAGAATTTTCATTTGGTTCCGATTCCAGTGCAAGTTGACTTCCGAACAGTAGTTCATGACGATGGTCCAAGCGAAGTAAACACATTATTGCCCATTCGTATCAAATGTGCTGCGCACACACTCAATTTGTTGGGAAAAACGGATGCAATTAAAGCGCTGCAAAATAAAACGTATGCGGCAGTGTACTGCAAAGTCATGGCCAAACTCAACCTCCTCTGGCGTTATTGCGGCCATCGAAAAAAGTGCGAAATAATCAAGCAGTATATCGGAAAAGTTATACTCAGACCACATAAAATTCGCTGGAACGCTTTATATGATAGCGTGAGTGTTGATTCTTTTTTTTTTTGCTTTTGTTTTGATAGCATGACATTTCAGATTCAAATTGTGATTTGGTCATTTTGATTTCAAATGCTATTTTTTCTTCTTTTGTTCATCTGTAGATACATGAAATTGTTCAGATCGATGCGTCTAAATTGGATGCACTTTTTTTCAAACTACATATAGCTGTTTTCACCGAGAGCGAACGACAATTTCTGGGCGAATATCTCAATGTGTTACAGCCAATCGCCCATGGTTTGACAAGACTTGAAGGAAACATATTTTTCGCATACTTTCTCATTACACTGTTCAACGTTGACGAGGAATTGAGACTGTTGGAGTCAACGAACTTGAAATTTGCAAAACCATTGTTGAAAGCACTGAGAAATGGCTTTGACACAAGATTCAAAGAAATGATGGACATAAACAATGCTGCATCCGTACCGCTTTATCTCGCAATGTTATCGCACCCTTTGTTCAAGCTCAATTTCTTACCAATGCTAAAGACAAAAGAGCGTAGCACAGCACTGGAATATATCGCTAAATGCAAAGGCATGTTATTAAAAGCCATTGAAGACATCGATTGCGAACAAAATAATAACCAAACTGCACAATCATCCAATTCTGATGGTAAGGAACTATTTTTTTTGTTCGAACAAATGACACTTAAGTGCCACTGTGTACAATTTTGTTTTGTGTGTGTTGTTATTGAAAGCAATGTGAAAAAAAAATTTCTTCTTTTTTTCTTCCTTTCCGAAATAGAATTCGATGTGGCGAGTTTATTAGATATGGAATGTGGAAGATCTGATATTATATTGTTGGAAATCAAAAATTTCCTTCGAGACAAATTGACGACTGATTTCGAAAGCACTTTTCGAACTTACCCAAACATGAAAGAAGTCTTTCTTAAGTTCAATTGTCTCATGACAAGCGAAGCAAATTGCGAGAGAATCTTTTCCTACGCAGGTAAATGCTGCATGATAAGGAAGGAGTCATTATCATATTTTATTTTCGATTGAAAATTATCAGATTTGAATATATTTTGGTTGTGGATTCTGGGTTGTTTTGATTTAAAGTTAAATATTTAGTATTTTAATGACGGATTTTTCAATTTCCAATTGTAGCCACGACTCTAAGTCCAAAACGTCGATCGATGAGCGATCAGAAATTCGTTGAAATGCTTACATTGTATGTCAATGATTATGACCTTGATATGCTTCAATCAATTGAAAGTCAAACCAAACACAACGGGCCTGTTCAATCGCAACCTCAAACTGCATCGCAGTCTCAAATTCAAACCAATCCCATTCCCAGTGGATCTGGCTTTGGCTCTGGCATATCAAATTTAAATTCAAATCCAAACTGACTTCAATTTACCTACACAGCAATTTGCATTTTGCAATTGGCAAATTGCTTTTTTGCACATTCTTTCGATACATTTGTCAATAATTTGAATTCTGATGCTATTTGTTGCATTAATTGTTACTTTTTTGTCGAGTTTCGGCTTTGAGAATATGGATTATTTGTTTTTTTGCTGGTCGTTGCATTTTTTGTTACTTTTTTGTTATATAGAATTCTGCGGCATTAATCGATCTTTAATATCGACTCAATTCAATTCAGAGTGCAATGTTATACATATTTTTTTTATTGAATTTTTTTCTTCATCTGGACTTTTGGTTTTGTTACAAAATAAATGAACTGAATATCAATGAGATTTCTTTTTTCTTTTGAAGATGCCATCAGCTTTGGATCGTATGTCAAGGAAAATATGACAATCAGGTGTACTATGCCACTGTTTTATCCAACAATAGTGTGAGGCTGTTTTGCACGAGCGAAAGGCGAAACATAAATGAAAAAATTTTCAAACAAATAAAGAAAAAAAAAACATTGAATAAAGACAAAAGAAAACAATGAACATGTGTGTGTGTTTTTTCCCCTTGATTTTGCATTGCAATGCTAATCATTCGAATAGAGTTGACTTTAAATAT